AAAGGTCTTGGCTGGGTTGAAAACTGGGTGGACATGCAGGGAAGCTTGCAGCTTGCTAGGCAAGTTTTCACTGAAGCTTCTTGACACCAACCCGGAGGAGTACCAGAACTTGCGGCTTGTCGGCTGGGCAAAGTTCTTGCAGCTTCTTTCACAAGTGGAAAATAAGAATGGTTCGACAAAATGAAACAGCGAATGGACAAAGTACAGTGCACTATCTTTGTTTGGCTCATTCGAAAACCAAAAATATTGCTCTGCTGTTGGTGTTCTACCGTAAACGCTTTTACTGTTAAGGCCTGTTCACACTCTTGCGACTGACTTCGACCAAGAGAGACCAGACCGGTTTTTAAGCCTTTTGCGACTTCTTAGGACCGGATGCGATGCAGCGGAGTTGGACCTAAGAAGTCGCAAGAGGCTTAAAAACCGGTCTGGTCTCTCTCGGTCTAACTCGGTCGCAAGAGTGTGAACGGGCCTTTACTCACCCGCTAAAAATCTGGGCATGGAAGGGCACTTTGCCCTTAAGTCTGGGCGTCTGCTGACGAGGTGCAAATCGGAGGAATAGCCGACATGATGGTAACGTGACAAACGGTCCACGGATGAAAATTGCGATTCAATCCATCGCGTGAATCTGCCATTATTTGACAATTGTCCTAATATGATTAATTGATCCCTATTAAAAAAATAACAATTGTTCTCTGAAACAATGTAATGAAGCGAAGTTTTTATGAACAATGCCTGCTCCTTTGACAACGGAATAGTACGAGCCTTGGTATAACAGGAACTTTCCGTAGATCAGGCATACATTTATTCCATGCTCAAAGTAAAGACATGAGTTTGTCTTGGCAATGCCAACCTCCTGTGTATGATCTGTAAAAAGTCCTTAATGACCGTGGTCAAGGGAGAGGATTTTCTGCTTTCAAGAACAGGATGGGGTGAAAGAAAAAGTGTCTCAATGAACAATGAACGCTCCAGCTTATCCACTCAGCCAAGTTTCTGCAACATGAACTAGGCTCTAAGAGAAAGACGTAGGATAAGCACTTCGAAATCTTTAGGATTTGCCAAGGGATGAAATTAATTAGATGCACAAAAAAGTAGACGGAGGAGGATGGCAAGAAAATTTTGGGGCTTGTGTTCTTACACTTGAATTGTTTGTGCAGGAACCATTACTGAAGCAGCACTTCATTCCTGAGGCAATACTTTATTGCTAGTCAAAGCCTGTTTCCAGAAATGCACATCAGGTGAGCGGCTTTTTTTTTTTCTCTTAAACATGAGGTGCTCTTTAACATTGCCCTCCAATCCCAAACCACGGCTAGGAGATTCTTTTCGGCTTCTGGTTGGCCAAGAGATCTTGTCAAGCCCTCTATTTGCATCCCGGTGTTAGGCATCTGCATTGCCCTAACTTCGTTTGCGCTTTCTTCTCTGTTCTAAACTCCCAAACTTAATTCAAGCAACAAGCATCGATGGCGACAGTCCCTCGGTCATCGGGACACCATTGCTCGGTTTTAGGGTACACGAATAACGACAGAAAGCGTTGAATACAGTCTGAGGACCTATGTATCTTGCACGGAATCCGGCAAGGTGAGTGCGGCTGTTTCTACATGACCCCAATCTCCGGTGGCAGTGGTTTGCTTCTGTAAACTGAAAAGACTTTTCTCCAACGCTATCCTCTCGACCGTGCTCGTAACATTTTGTGAATGGAGCGCACACCGAACTTAACGCTGTACCGTCGATGAACATGGGGTACGCTCGCAAGGTGCGTGCAAGTTTTCTCGAGATAATGGCTGTTTCAGGTTGTAACATTTTCTAACTGAATTTATCTTAATATTGATATTTCAAAGTGTTGACAATGACTCAATTTTATCAACAACGCTGAGTTGAAGGCTCATTTCTGCCGCCGGGTGTGGCTGAAAATTGTCGAAAAGCTTGTTCTATTGGTCTTCCTGAATCACGATCACCTGAGCAATACCAGAGAGCCATGAACCTATGTTGACCGTCACAATGCGACTAGATACTTATTCTAAAAATCAGTACATAATGTAGCCGGAAAGAAGCCTTCAATTTCTGTTGCTGAAAGTTGAAATATGCTCATGCATCAATTTCGAATCGTTGAATCATTGACCGACTCGCTCCGGCAAAAGGCCCATCTCGACTTTGCTGTTTTCAGTTCTCGACAAAAGACACACTCGTTGGCACGGGATCCTCAAATAAAATGTTTATAAACACCGATGCATGAGCATGTTTCTATGTTTATAAACAGTGATGCATGAGCATGTTTCAACTTTAAGCAACAGAAATTGAAGGTTTCTTTCCAGCTACATTATGTACTAATTTTGAAAATAAGAAGAATCTAGTCGCATTGTGACGGTCAGCATGGGCTCATGGCTCTCTGGTATTGCGCAGGAGATTGGGATTCAGGCAAAGCAATAGAACTAACTTTTTGACAATCGCCAGCCACACCTGGCGACGAAAATCAGCCTTCAACTAAGTGCTGTAGATAATAAAATTGAGTCAATGTCACCACTTCGAAATATCTATATTAAAATAAATTCAGTTCCAAAATGTTCCAAGCTGAAAGCAAATATCAGGAGAAAACTTGCACACACCTTGCGAGCGCACCCCGTGTTCATCGACGGTACAGCGTTAAATGTGATGCCCACTCCATTCACTAAATGTTCCGAGCACAGTCGAGAGGATGGCGTTGGGGAAAAGTCTTTTCGATTTAGGGACGCAAGCCACTACTGCCGGAAATCGGGGTCATGTGAAAAGCGATGGAGCTTAAAGACACTGCAGCAGCACTCGCCTTGCCGGATTTCGTGCAAGCTACACAGGCTCTCGGACAGTATTCGACGCTTTCTGTCGTTATTCGTGCACCGTATAACTGAGCAATGGTGTCTTGATGACCGGGGGACTGTTGCCATCCAAGCCCGTGGCTCTAATTAAGTTTGGGAGTTTAAAACAGAGAACAAAACACGAACGAAGTTCGGGCAATGCTTACACCGAACACTGGCAAAGCCTCTCATCTGGGGCTTTCACTGTCTTTAACGCTCCAGCAAGGGGGAAAGCGCCGGTAGCCCTTTCCCCTTTTATCTCTCGCACTCTTTTTGTAAAACAGTTTATACACGGTTCTGCTCTGCTTTAACCCCGTTAAACAAACTTCTTACCAAGCACCGGTGCACTGCGGAAAAGCAACACCAGCGGAAGCAAGCTCCACGGGTGTTGCTTCTCCGCAGCGCACCGGTGCTCCGAAAGAAGTGCGCTCAATGGTGCTGCGAGAACAAAAAGTATGAATTACACGAAAACAATGTTCGAGTTAAGCGGCTTATAAATACATTGAAAACGTAGCGGGTCAACCAAAGTTTTGAAATTTGTTTGACTTAACCAGAAGTATTAAATATCCGAGTTTGAATTATCGCGAGCCTACTGTATATACTAAGGGAGATCTGGCTCAATCCAATGTGCTTATATCGCGAGCCTACTGTATATACTAAGGGAGATCTGGCTCAATCCAATGTGCTTATATCGCGAGCCTACTGTATATACTAAGGGAGATCTGGCTCAATCCAATATGCTTAACATCACTGAATAGTTGTGTAATTTTAATTGGCTAGTTCTATTTCTCAAGCACTTGATATGTTTGGTATTCAAATCATTGCAAATTTTTACTTTGGTTCAATTTATGGGGGGTTTATTTTATATGTCATGTTTAGTAGGAGCTAGGCTAGTTGGTAAGCACGTTGCTTACTTACTTTAACCATGCATGTCATATACAATTTGTTGCGATTGTGTTTGAATGCAAATTCTCTTCTGCTCTTTATTTCAAGCTGCCCTTACATGCACCATGAAGATACCGAGGAGGTCTTCAATTGAATGACAACTTCAAGCACAAACATGGAGGGGCATCTAAATGGCCAGCACAAGGACAACTATAATGTAAATTTTCTCCAAAGCTAAAGCGAGGCATGCCTTCTTCCAATAAAGGTATTGTGGCGAAACTTCTTAATTGGTTCGTTTGTTGAGCTGTCATCTATAGGAACAGCTGAGCTCACACAAACAAAATCCTGGCAGTGAGAAGTACAGGTTGTGTGCTCTTTCTCTTTTGCAAAACATGAACTTTTTGGCTGAGGATGAAAGATTATTCAAGTTCATATCTACAATGACGGAGCTATGAACTCTCCATACCAATCTACCCCAAAAGCTTCATGTGACTTAGGCTTGCTTGAATATGAAAGCTTTTTGCACTAAATAATGAAACACTTGACATTTACGTCTTTTTGAACTGGACTCTCCGTAAAAACAAGGCATATAATTTTGTAGAATGGCGAAATTTCTGTAGCCCACATTACGGACAGCTATCCATAGGAAATGTGAAAGCTGTCCGCACTAAATACCGAAGGACTATACCTTTCCGAATTATATAAGGCCAAAGCGACGAGTCATCCGCGCCAGTCCTGCACCTCTGATAAGTCAGGTGACACCCCTGGCAGATCTAGAGCTCTGCCAGGTGAGTCGCCTGATGTATCGGAGGTGCAGGTGGTACGGATGGCTCGAGGCTTTGGCCTTATAAGGCGGAAAGGTATAGTCCTTCGGTATTTAGTGCGGACAGCTTTCACATTTCCTACGGATAGCTGTCCGTAATGTGGGCTACAGACGTTCCGTCATTCTACGAAATTATATGCCTTGTTTTTACGGACGTTCCCGTTTCTAGATTACGGCAAACCATACCGGCAATATTGAACCGGCAACTTTTACCCGTAAAATGGAAAACGGATAACTGTCTGTAAAGTGAACTACGGACGTTTCGTCATTTTACGGAATTATATGCCTTGGTTTTACAGACAGTCCCGTTTCTAGATTACGGCAAATCATACCGGCAATATTGAACCGGCAACTTTTGCCCGTAAAATGGGGTGAAAATTTTTTACAGTGTACTCTCCCAGAATCCAGCGACTCTGTGCAGATCTTTGACCTGAGTCGTCTTACAAAGTGCCATATTGCGCGCGCAGATGGACGAAATGGAGCCCGTCAAGTACTGTAGGTGCAGAGCTCGTGGCAACAAGACGTTCGTTCGGTACGACCTTTCAGGTTGCGGACACGACGGGCTGTTTGTGAGTGAGCATTTCCATTTCAAGAACGACCGAACTGAAACATTGCGCAAACGTCCTAAGCGGACCAAAGTAGCACAGTTCTTTGCACCAAAGTTTGGTTTCTGCCTGGCAATTTAAGGCCCTAACCTCCCCTCCCCCCCCCCCCCCCCCCCCAAAAAAAAAGAAAAGATGTTTAATTAAAGTGGATATTTGTTGGCCAGGTATTTATGTCCTAACTTGTCATAAAGAGTGCCGTAGTTAACTGCCAACTTTGGGCCTATATCGTGAAACCAGTGCAGGAATTAGGCATCCCTGCTGGATGTTTGGTTCATACGTTGCATTTCTGACTTGTGTCTGGCACTTCGGGATTTATCTAAGAAATCAAAGGAAAGCTAAAAAAAAGTAATTTGGCACTGATTATGTAGTGAGTAAAAATTGCTAGGCAATGGACCTTTTCCACATACCGACGGCACCAGGCGGTGGCTGCACGAACTAAGGGTCGAGGAAGTGACCTACCTGCGCTACCAATCGATAATGGGAGCTACGCTACCAGTTTCTTCGCTCTCTGAGCAGTGGCGCCTGCCCCGCCTGCCCAACGCGACCTTAAAAACGGGCATCCGTGGCGTCCACCCAAACGTCGTGTTTTCCTTTCCGTCGACGTTCTTTTTTTGTGTAACACAATTATATATATGCTGCAGTTACGTGTTCTACTCACTGATATACAGCCTCCTTCCGAATTTCCTCGATTTTTTTGTTCCGACTTCCGCCGCTTGGCATCGGGCGCTCGCGCCTGCGCAGAACGCTTCTCGGAAAAGGTCCATTGTGTTGCATGCGTGAAACGTTTAATGGTACTCTTGAGTTTCCAGAGACGCCAGTTGCCTTCGTTTACGGCGCTCTTCATCAGTAGTGGAACGCGTACCATGTGTACACTTCATTTCTAGAATGAAGCGGTACCACCGCTAATCGGGCTGATAAACCTGGCGATCTTCCCGAGCCTCGCATACTCTCGAGCTCCTCTTCCACATTGCGCACAGGTGGTGGAGCTCCTCTTCGTCTACCCCTTTGGTCACATGACCTCCCCGTTAACCAATCGGCTCACGTACAAGTGTCACGTATAAGCGTTACGACGGCCTCATTCGGTTCACCCGCAGCGGCCTGAACCGCGGTGCAGAATATTCTGGCGCGGTGCAGAAAAGTGCAGTGCAATGTATGTATGCTGTGTTTCATACTTGGTGTGCAACGCTGTCAAAGCTACTGGCGCGAGCGCGTGGCTTCATTTATGGTTTTGTTTGCGCGAGAACGCGTGCAAATGATCAACGAGATCACGCCCCGTACTTCCTAAGGCCGTGTTCTTTTTAGACAGAGCCGCACTCGTATAAATCGAATACGGCGGTGTGCACCGAGTGTAGCTGGCACGGGCGAATCGAACGTAACGAGTGTCACACGACGTCACAGTTTTCCAGCCGAGAAAATTTCTCCGCTAAATTTAGCGGGAAGTTAACATCAGGTGAGCCATTGTACCACGTGACGTAAGGTGTCGTCGATGTCAAGCGACGTCTCAGTGCCACGTGAACACCGCTCGCTAAACGTTGCGGGAGGTAAAAGAAAAAATCGGTTAAATTATAATGTAAAAAGAAAAAAAATCCAGATTCTGTGATTTTCAAATGAACTCCGGCGACAGCCTGCGCTACATGGCGTCCGGAGCGCTTATCTCCGACCGGTGTGCTCAGCGTCCTATCCAGCCCCCACACGTCAATAAAGTGGTCCCCAAAGTGGCACCAAACGACCTCGCAGAAGTCGGAGTGTCCTGCTGTCGAATGTCGCGAACCTGGCGGTTGGTCGCGGAAATGCTGGCGAAGAAGCACGAGCGAACGCCAGTGTCGCCGTCGTCACGGCGTCCCAATTTCCGGCTGCCGAAGCTTCCGTGGACTTCTATGCTAGAGACCCGCAGCAGAACAGGCGTCTCACACTTTCACCACCACTGCTGGAACGCCACCAGGATCGCGACAAGCGACAGCATGACACTTCTGTGACGTCATCGGGCAGAAATTGAGGGACCACTTTTTTTAATGCGGCAATCACACCAGTCGCAGACGCGTTCCTGGCATCCTACCTCCACACAGGAAAAAAGGGGGAGTAGACAAGGTCTTGGCCTTGGCCACCGATTGGATGGCTGGCAATATTGTTAAATAAATAAATAACACTATTTAAATCATACTATAAAACAAGTAACTCAAAAGTAACGTCTGCTACTTTTATCCATGACGATAACATGTTCCTTTTATTTTCAAGGTAACGCAGGTCCGTAACGTGTTCTTTTTATTTGCGAATGACGTGTAACGTATTTCGTAACTTTCTTTTCCGTAACCCTTTCAACGTCAGCACTGCGTTGCACGCAGTGCTGGCGCAAGGGTCTTTACGCTATTCTAAAACTCTCTATTAGGGAGCTTTCATGGGTGGTTTTCGCCGTCCCGCAACGATCTCCGCAACCCGCTACAATGCCCAGAACTCTACAGTCAAGGCCATCGGCGCGCAGGCGCAGTAGTGGCTTCTTCGTTGTAGAGGGCTTAGCGGAGGAGGAAACGCGGTCTACAAAAACTCCCTATTATCAGGCTCGCCGTTCGTTCCCTCCCAAGACTGCAGCGATTGTATCTCTCGGGCGCTTTGCGGGAAACTAGACGCTTCAGATTTCTTAGAGCGACATTAGGGAGTTTTCGTAGACCTCGTCTCTTCCTCCGCTAAGCCCTCCGCAACGAAGAAGCCCCTACTGCGCCTGCGCGCCGATGGCCTTGACTGTAGAGTTCCGGCTAGCGTAGCGGGTTGAGGAGAGCATTGCGGGACAGCGGAAACGATCTACGAAAACTCCCTATTTTTTCAGGGCCGTCTACAGCCGATCCGTAACCACTTCGTTCTCCACATTGCCTTCCAGCTCTGCTTAAACGGCGAGTGCCTGAACATAACAAAATCAACGTACATAGGCCTGTGCAAAGAGGTATTCCGAGAGAAATACGGCACTGCCCCCATTGGAACCTATTATGGCTTACTTAAGAGGGTAAGTTGCGAGCGATTTCGTCAGTTGATCTACATATTACAACATATACCGGGCGTTCGTGAGAAAAGAGAACCGTGTTTTTCGGCACGCGTTAATAAACTACGCATCATGAGACCTCGTGGAAATGCAACAATATAGAGGTGGTGATAAAGTGTCAAATTTTGAGCACATGACGTTACCTGGATCAAAATAGACAAAATAAAAAAGGCTCGAGGTACACCTAAGCACTTCTTATGAGTTGTGAATGCGAAAGCATGCACGCCGCTCTTCCGCTCCCTTCTTTCGTCTGCGGCGTGGCGTACTTACGTCGACGGTCGAGGGCGCGCGCTGTCCTCGGCGCGCTGACCTTGGGTGTGGAGCGCTGGAGCCGCTGCCTCGCGGACACGCAGCGCCATGAGGTGGCGGTCGTTGAAACTGACGCGCAGCGGCCAATGAGAGCCTCGTCGACGCGCGCCAGCCAATGGGACCGAAGCCGAAATCCATCAGCTTTACTCCGCTCCTTTGGGATCGGGGAAACTAGGTGCCGTTTGGCTAGGCTTTTCGCGTGGTTTCATAGCTGGGAGCTGGCTTCACTTGGAGAAAGGATTTAAGGTGCCGTTTGGCGCGGCTTCAAAGCTGATGACGTCGGCGCGCTCTATGGGACCAGTTAATGCTTTCGCATTAAAACACCCCTCTCCCCATGAGCGGGCGTCCCCACAACGTCACGTTTTGTTTTGATGAATATTAGGCTTAAGTAGACGTCGGCTAGAAAGAGAATAAAGAGAAGTGAAAAACACTCGTCAGCTAGAGAGAGAATATTGCTTTCCTTCTTGCAAACAATTTTTGTTTAATGCGTTAGATTTTGTGGTTTTGTGCGTGCAGCCGTTTTTCGTTTGGACGGTCGTGGTTTGGTTTGGACTGGTTTCCGGATACCGCGGCGCGGTGCGCGGTTCCCGCCGTGCCTTTACAGCGGAGCTGTTAAGGGCTAGTTTCCCCAGTTTCGTGTCCATAAGACAAATAAATCTCGACACAACCCTACGGACAGCTACCGCCATCTATGAGCAACGGCGGCACATAGTACTCTCCGCTGCACTTCCTTCTTTACCAGAGTGGAAAGGCTGAAAAGTTTTTTATTTATTTATTTATTTATTTACAGAGTACCTACATCGCCTCGAGGGCATTATTGTAGGAGGGGCAGGAAATAACACACATACGTAAAAACAGAAAGTGATCACTTGTCCAAACAGATTAGATATACAGCCGAGAAAAAAATACACTGTTGTCCAAGGTGCTCACCACATCATCAGGCAGCAAGTTCCACTCTCTAATTGTCGTTACAAAAAAATAATTACAGAAGCTGTTTGTTTTATAGGAATATTCAAAAACTTTTCTAGAGTTATCACACCTAGCTGAAACATACGTTGGCCCCAAAAGATACTCATTCTTATTAATACCCGTATTATTATAATAAATGCTATGGAAAAACTTCAATCTTAATTTTTACCTTCGAATGCTCAAGGGCTCCCATCCCAGCATGGTTTTAACCTCTGTCATACTAGCGTATGGATCGTAGTTGTTACTAACAAATCGCGCTGCTTGATTTTGAAGTTTCTCTAATCTATCGATCAGATACTGCTGCTTCCTTTGTTCGCTCCGTTACGTTCACTCTCCCTCTTACAACAAGGAAGGAGCCTTCTGGCATAACTTATTTTATTCTGGCACGCTTCCAACGACGCGCCGCGGAGCTGGAGAGGAGGCGATTGAGCGGCCGTGGTGGTGACACAACGTAAGCAACAATGCAAGACCGAGGCGCAGCACCGACGCAGTTTACGCGAAACCGCCGACACCCGGGCAGAGAGATTATGGAGTTTTAGAGAACCGTTTTTGCGCATCCGTACAATTAGCCCACCGGCACGAACTGCATATGTGCGAGCCTCCCGCAGTTGCACACTCGCAGTTCATACCGGAGGGGCCGTCGTATCGTATCGGACGTGCGAAACCGGTTCCCTAAAACTTCCTATTGGCTCTTCGAAGGCAATAGTATGCGGACAGTAGGCGGCGATGGAGAGAAGCTGTGGTGGTTGCATCCGCAACCGCTGACGCCCGGGAGAACAGACTCGTTCTCCGAAGGCAACAGTATACCAACCGTTGCGAGGTTGGAATTTCCATCCTTCGCTGGTTCAGAACCCCGTGCTAAATGCTGACGCATTTCGTCGAGAATCAGCGTAGCGACAGCAACGATTTCGGCATATTATTTTTTTTTCTTATTGGAATAGGTGAATACATGTTACAGGCGGCCACAGCGTAATTTTGTTGTTTCGATGATATTAAGGCGCCTTCACACTTACGATTCGCGATTCGAAACCCTTTTTAGAGAACGGATTCGTTTTATTGAAGTTCGGTTTAGAGAAAGTGCCCATCAAAAGAATTCACCAGACCGGTTTGGTGTGTTCTGGTGTTTCTTGGTGTAAACATCAGACTTTCCTAGTGTATCCTGACGTGCACATCGAAGGTAGGAGAAGCTCCTCCCATAAGCGTGACGCGCTTGTTTAAAATCCATCCGCAGTCGAAAGAATAGTTCCCTGGAAACGCCCCTTGTTCCGCTTGAATGAATAAACTGTAAAAAAAAAAAAGCTGTTAAATAACGCACATATAATTGAAAATTTCTATTTTTTTCTACAGAAAATGTTTGTAAGAAGTGAAAATGGGATTTTTTTTTACCCGAATAAACTGATCATACCTGTTTAGGTTACAAAGCAGAAAATTTCTTGAAACGAAAATGATTTTCATTGTTATAACAAAACAATAAAAGAGATTGTCTGCTTTACAACAGAATTTCGCGTGAAACAAAACTGACATAATATATTTCTCTCCAAATGACAGAAAATGCTGGTGTTTGTCATAAAACAGTATTTGTTGCGTAAATCACAGTGCATTACCTGCCTCCGCGTCCTTTGTGTTGCTTAGGGGATGTACCACTCGTTGAAATCCGAATGGCGGATAACCTTCGTAGTGAATTCTCCAGGGTTCGAGTTCGAAGAAAGTTAATCATGCCACAACAAAATTTACATTACACTTGAAGGGATTCGTACGCTGACGAAACGTAGAATATACGGAGCTGCAGAATGAGGCAAATTTATATGATGCTCCACAGGTCGGGTGGTGTCGGTATTGTTTTCAACCCGTCCCAAGAAAACACGAGAAAGATGATTTTAACTGTATTGCTAATTATTTGTGTGTAATACTCATGAGAATATTCTTCGGCGTGTTGCTCGTTTGTTTCCCAAGTTTTGATAAAAGAAATTGTGAAGTCCCGAACCGTATCGAATGAGTCCCTTACAAAAATGAACAATGAGTTTCAACTGAGCTTCTAATGTGTTTTTATAGAGTCAAATGAAACTCAAAAGAAACTCAACGTTAAATGAGTTTCATCCTTACAAAACTAATATTTATTATTTTGAATTTACTCATTACACATTCAAATGAGTGTTATCATTACCCACTCAATATCTATTCTTTTGAATTTACTCATTACAAATTCAAGTGAGGTTTATTGTTACCCAATCAATATCAGTTCTTTTGAGTTTACTCATTACACATTGAAATGAGTGCTATCACTAAGAACACAATATCCATTATTTTGAGTTTACTCATTACAAATTGCAATGAGTTTTATCGTTACCGACTCAATATCTATTTTTTGAGTTTACTCATTACAAATTCCAACGAGTTTTATAGTTACCCAGCCAATATCCATTCGTTCAGAGTTTATAAGTGTACTGATTACTCAGGCAAATGAGTATTTTAATTAAAAATGCAATATCCGTTATTTTGAGTTTATCCATAGACACTCAGGTGAGTTCCACCATAAGGCACCCGATAGATATCAGCTGATCCGCACAGGGGCGGATCCAGAACTCCATTTTTTGGGGGGGCTGAAAATTTTTAAGGATACTATTCTCCCATGTCAAATTGCCCTCTGAGAAGGGGGGAGGGAGGGGGGTCGACTTGGTTTGGGGAGGGGGAGGGGGGCGGCCGCCCCCGTCGTGCCCCCCCCCCCCCCCCCCCCCCCCCCTTTGGATCCGCCACTGGATCCACAGCGGAGGAATTCGATAAAGGCAAAGGTGGAGATAATCATGAATGCAGATCGCCTGCTGGTCAGAAGACAAAGTCATGTTCAAAATTGAAATCCAATAACTTCTCATATTTATTAACCATTTATTAACCCTTCTATGAAATCAAAACATATTCAATTATCCCCATTCTCAACTAGCACACTGTCTCGGGCGATCAAAATTATACAGCGATAGACATAATGACTCGATATACAGCATCTGCTCCCAAACTTCCCTACGATATCATACAACCCAGCGAGGCTTTGCGGAAAGGGTTCGTCAACTGGCTCAGCTTGGCAAATGGCTCGCTGGGTTGTGTGATAAGGCACAGAAACCCGTTTGTCGTTTGTGTTGAGGGCGTGGTGTATCAAATTCCGTTAACATGCGGTAAAAAAGATGTAGGACAGACTGGGAGATGCCTGAACGACAGGCTCCGGGAACATAGTCTTAACGTCAAAAACTATCGGGATGGCCACCCTTCAATGCATTACCATAACCGCGGATGCAAATCGTTGTTCGACTCATACTCAGTACTGGCTAAACATAAAAATAGAACTGTTAGGGAAATTATCGAAGCGGACGAGATAAAAAGGGCAGGGGTGGGGAGTGTCGGCGTTGCATCCGTCGACCTTTTCGATAAGGAGGTGTAGTTCATGCGAGCGGCGGCAAGGCCTGGGGTTGGCTGATTGATAGGATCGAAGCGTGTAGATATGCCTCATTTTCATGTTGATTAAATAGTTGCAGTCAGCGCTCGTGTCTGTCTCGTCTTTCTTTATTTTGTCCTCGTCTAAAAAGCGCTACCATGCCTTTGGCAACCCAAGACCGATACCAACTAACCCAGCATTCAGCACTGATAAGTACTGTGGACCCAGACAGCTCATTAATCTTTGTAGAGAGGACATAGAAGTGTAATTGTGCCGAATGCATGTTTAGGCAGCCAGAGGTTAGTCAGCCTGAATAGCCGTCTGGTGTCTCGGCTGTAGATGAGAAATTTTGCCAGTGCAGCACTGCCGTTAGCCTGGGTCCTTAACGTGCATCCCGCACTAATATACGACCACTCGCCGCTGTGTACGATGCTCATCTATAGTTCGAAAAGGGTATACGCGTAGGGATTGAACCAGGGTTCTGCAGCGCGAGCTTTCGCTCACTTGACCATCGATTCCCCTTAGAGTGGGCATGACTTGATTTCAGACCGCAAGTTGTTCCGCGTTGTCTCTCACTTGTGGTCTCTACGTCTTTTGGCTAAAACCTCAGTAGACCTTTCTTTTCATCATCGCAGGTTCCTGAGGTGTGTGGAATTCACTGTTGTCTAAGGTTCAATAACAACACGGCGGTTTGCCACGATTTTAAAGACCCTCCGGACAAGTGCCGTCTATCTAGGTCAGGTAAGCACACTTAGAAAAAAGGGTCTCTATTCGCGACTCTAACTCACTATAGGTGGCGCCACTCGTTTTCCAAAATGGCGGTTATAGTGAGCGTCGGCGATGCGTGCCGCTGTTGAGCCTGTCTAGTGTGCTGGCTTCACTGAGCGTCACAAATTATTTCTCGTAATACGAGGAAGCTAGGGTGTCATGAGCGCAGGTCACCTCTTTATCCTGAAGACAAATAACGTTTTTAGCGTAATATTTAAACCCGGAGGCGCGTATTAATTTTGGAGCAAGACCGAAAAAAACCTCCGTTTTGGATTTAATTTCTCAGTGTGGGTCTTAATTCCGGGTTCTTTCATAACTCAAGATGTGTCTCACATCGCAATTATATACTTAAAATAAGTTTTTCTCGCAGCCTTTTCTCGCTCAGATAATTGTCATGTGAAATAATTGACTGGGGGCCTTTTAATAGGATTTTGGGTATTTATATTATTAATTGCTTTAATATTATTGCCAGCAAAATAGTAAGAGGATAAATCCAATTTTCACCATATGTTCATAAAACGTATAATTTAATAAAAGCTGTTCTCACTGCAACAACCCAAAGACGGAATCCGAGTCAGACAGCTGAAGTGTGCGTGTGTGTTTAAAGGAACATGTGACTCATAAGATTGTATATTGCACCAGTGTTTGACTGTTTTTCTATATTGACAACGATGTCGAAGTGTTTCATATGCTAAAAGGAAGACAAAATGATACCTTTCTGGAAAGAATATTGTGGGTTAAATGGCGTGTTCTTGTGATCATGGCGTTAATTGGGGGCATACATTGCTGCGATTTGTATTAATAATAATATTAAAATTCAGATATTGTAAACGCAATTTTTCAAGCTCGAATATTATGTTTTTTTATCTAATTTCAAACGCGCGAACAAGTATGACAATCAAAAGTGTGCTCATTTTCATCACTGGTGCCAATGGCAGCAATGTTAATAACCAAGTTATAAAATAAGAATAGTCTCAAATCAATGAAAGCATTCTAGCTAATGTGAGAAATCCATGTAAAATTACATTAATTGGGGGTAAAGCATATATTGCTATCAAAATCGGGACTTTTGACAATCGACAAAACTTCACAAGTCGGCGCCAATATCCTTCCTGACTAAAAGCCCGAAAATGAAAAAAAAATAAATAAAAAATAGTGAATTAAAAAAAACATGTATATTTATTTTTTAATTACCAATTTTTTTATAACATTTAGTTACTTTCATTTTTACGCACCGTTGTTCTGCCAATCTCAGCCTTTCCAGTTCGAAGGAACGCCTACCCGATTACGCGTCTGCTCACTGCAGCACGTTTCGTTGGCGTTGGAAGCAGGTGAAACAGTAGCGAGTCTTAGTATTGCGTATACGAGCGGACGCAAGCGCTGTGTGTTTGCGTTAGCTTTGCGTGTTCCACACTGCGCGTGCGCGGAGCCCAAAATTGCGGTCTTGGATTGGCGCATGGCGATGACGCGCACGCACAGCGTGGACACGCAACTCTAACGCAAACGCACAGCGCTTGTGTTTGCTTCTACGCGCAACACTAAAACTCTAGTAAGATGCAATCCCATACCGGCTACAGCGCTACGCTGGGACAGTGAAGAGTGTTGTTTGCGTTCTGAAATGACATTTCGCGAGCCTTGATCGCTAGCAGTTCCGCCGTGCCCGCTGAGCGGGAGAATCGGGGGACCCTCACTACAACGCTTCCCGTTTCTGACGCGGGAGGGCGAGCAACGAGCTGGAGACGCGATTGCACTCCCTAAAGGGAGGAACGTGTTGTTATTAGAAAAAGAAAAGCCCACAAAATAAAATAGAAGAGAAGCCTCGTCATTCCCGCAGGCCCATGCGGGCCTGCGGGAATGACGAGGCTTGGACATGCCGATGAGGCTGTGACAGGTGAAGCCCGGGGCGGGAAGAGGCTTGGAATGAAGAGACGTCATACACGAAGGATCCTCGAGCCGTACTGCCCGGGGACGGCCAGCCTGAGGACACGGTCCCGATGGTGGCTGGTGGCGCCGTCTGGCTACTGTAGATCAGTTGTGCTATTGTAAGTTGGCAGCGCCATCTATGTAGCGTGGAATTTGAACAAAAATAAAAACTGAAATACTACAGAACGCTCTTGTAACCCATGTACTTTTAGAGAGGGAAAAAACGTTCGTCCTGAAAGCAGGGTAGCAAAGTTCCTCCGTCGCATGCACCTCATTATGGCGGCGTCGAATCGAGAAAATCGAGCTCAATAAAGCTTCACGAGGATGCCACACGTCTATAGGGGCCCACGTCCTGGTCCGGACGGCCCGGCCCACGTCTTGCGGATTGATTCCACAAGGGGACTGGAGTGATTAATTAGTGTTTCTAGTGCGGTGGGTATATGGAGCCAGCCATTCCTCCCATGAAATGATGTGTGAGAGAGTTGGGGAAAGGGTGGGTGGGTTACAAGACCAGTAGGTGTGAGGGATGAAAGGGTATTCTCCGCATTTTGGGCAGCTGGGAGAGTCGGGTCGTTTGTAGATGTGGTGGAAGATGTGGTGTGATGGAAGAGAGTTGGTCTGGGCTTGCCTGACGAGGGAGGATTGTTGTCTAGAGATGGTCTTTGGAGGGTGAGGGTAAATGGTCCGCTCTTCACGTTGTTCTTTCAACCTCGACTTCGTAAGGCTCGATGGCATATTCTTCCAAATCGTCGATCGTCGAGGGTTCTGTGAAGGTTTCGGAGTAATGTATTTTAGTGCGTGTGTTGACGAAAGCGATTTTGTCATGCGTAACTGGTGACTGGCATCAGCAAAATACGTATCGTGATCCATCTTATGTAGGAAGCGTATTCGCTTTTTGTGGGCTTTGGCGCGGAGTTTTCGTCTCTCGGGGCTGTGGTCGGGGTGCATGTTTTTCGGTAGTGGTTCTACTGTAACATTTGGGTTGGCGCTTTTTTATGGAGTGGGAGGTATGGGAATTGGGGAAAGTGAGTCCGTGTTAATATCTAGTGTCTGCAAAATTGTTCGCCCTTGGTTTGAGGCAGAGAGTCGAAATATCTGTTCAGCTTTGTGCATTTGTATGCGTTCTGTAATGGAGTTGAAAGTTTCCGTGTTTAGAAGACGTTCGCTGGACGCGTGGCGCGGCACTCCCAAGGCGAGTCGGTACAGTTTACAAAGACTGGCTTCGAGCGTTTTTTTTTTTCTTTTTTTTCTTGTTTTTTTTTGGAGGGGGGGGGATATGTTGTCGTGAGGTATGTTAGTGTGTATGTTAGAGATATGACGAAGGCGTCTATGATATGGAGTAGATTATGCTCTTTGAGTCCCGTTCTGTGATTTGTTGTCCGTTGTATCAGGTGTGCGATCTGATTGATTTGGGCATGAAGGCGGTTGAATTATCCTTCCGGTTTGCCGTTGAATTGGAATACTTCTCCCAGGATTTTGGTTTAATCAACCTGTTGAATTTCCTTGTCCTGCAGCTTAATTTTGACGAGTTTTCGGTCGGCGTCGGGTCCTCTCTTGGGGACCTGGGCGGGTTCCCAAGAGTACTGGGCGAGAGGAGAGACAAATACACGCGTAACACGAGCTTTCCGCGAGCTGTATTTATTTCCGAAGCCAGCTTCCCCCCGCAGGTAAAGAAACTTGCGTTTCGAAAGCAGTTACTCAGTTTTCGTTGTCAGCACTGGGAAGTTAAACGGAGAGAACCGATACCCAGTTACTTCACGCACTTTAAATCTTACCTTTGGTATTCCTCAAGCCAAAAGTTCCTTCGTCAACCGCACATCCCGGAGGAGTAGTAAACCATTCGCGAAACCAAAAGAGCAAATTCGAAGCAGCTGTTGCTCGCTAACCAGATTTTATCGCGAAGCATGAAATAAAATAAATCACTTGCCACCAGATGGCAGGGTCAAGCAGAGTAATTGCAAATAGCTAAGCTAGGTGGCGCTAGGTACCGCCCAATTCGTGTTCTACAAAAATAATTTTATTTGCTCACGCCACCACTGCGCTCAAGGCCCTTCGAGCACCTTATTATACACGCATGCCCGGCCGTTTCCTTGACGCCGGAGCAAGCCCATAAACAGTCCGCGGAAGATGAGTTCTCTCTTGTACGCTCGAGGGACCCGGCCGAAGCGCCGACAGACACATAAACAAACAACACAGAGCGCAAGATGCTGTCCTAGCCAGAGTGTCGAACCGGAACCGAACCAAATCGAAAACCGGAACCGAACCGGAACTGAACCGAACCGAAAGCTTCGGGGCCATCTTGGAACTAAACCGGGAAAAAAATATAGCGGTAATCGGTTCAAAACGTTTCATGGCAATTTTCTTTTTTTCTGTTGTGTTAGTATCTTAAAATAAAGAATTGGCAGCATTATTTCTATGTCTTAATCAATTGGCATATACAGAATTTCAACGTCCTAACACCCTGACGTCACATGACATCACGACTTCGCAGCACGAGTCACGTGACCCCGTGACGTGTCATGAGCCCGAGTCGAGTGGACGGGTTCGTGACAATCAGCATCGCCAAACATTCGGTCAATGGCTCGTATTCAATCAAAAATGAGAATAGCCGAATTCTAGCTATGTCTGAAGCTTAGCCCATGCTCTATGCTTTGCCAACCCCAGCGCATTACTATGATGAACACTGATAGTATATACTTGTCCTCAGATCACGTGGCCGCTTGTTGTAATTTCGAGTTGTAGGAGAAAGCGGTTTCTTTCCTTAATTTTTTCTGCGCCTGCCCTTGAGCGTAGGAAAAATCTAATGGGTATTTTTACACGCTGTCAAAGTCAGGCAATAGTTCTCAG